ACAGGCCAGCCCGTACACCCTCTTTCCACCAAAGCACTGGATGGATTCTCAGTGCCACGGCTGGTGGCTTGGGTAGGCTTTGCTGTTCAGGATGTAAAATGACTTTCTCTCTTCACGTTTTGATGGTGCGGTTCCTGTGGTGTGTGAAAGTGCACTGGGACACCAGGACTGGGTCGATGGTTTCTAAGGCAAAGACTGGCAGGTGCCAAGCCACCAAGAGTGGCTGACTGGCTGGGGAGGACAAACCAGCAGGCTGGCGTGGTGACAGACACACAAAGAGCCGAACACCTAAACTGCACCTTGTGTGACCTCCCAGGCTCCTGTGTCCATCCGTGCGTCGCTCAGAGGCACGGGGCCATTACGGAGTGGGGAGCTTGGTAGCGGAATTAATGCCAAGGGCTTCACACTTCATTCCAGCCCACATGAATGGGCTCATTGTAGGGAACAGAGCGGCGGCAGCATGCGGATTCACGGCATCATGACAGCCCTGGCATCATGCCCACCTGACCTTCATGTCCCCAGCAGGGCAGCCAGGAGAGCTAGCCTGGAGGAGGGCAGCTCTTTGCAGGGGAAGGAAGGGGACCTCTAAACCCCAGGTCTTCACTCTGCTGTGAAGAGCCCTGTGGGACAGAGCCTGCCTGTCTGAGTAGAGATGCATCATTGCTGTATCTCAGCTCCTCTTGCTGCTCAAACACCTTTGAATTTGCCTGCACAGAATCAGGCAAAGAATTCTGCATTTGGACCTCTGGCTTGTGCAGCATGGTGATGCAGGGACTAAGCGCCTCTCACCCCACATGCCTCACAGCAGGCTGCGGATTACGCTTGGGTCATGTTTCATGGTGGCCCCATAGTCCTGCTGTCAGGTGGGAAACCAATGGAAGTCAGCTAATTAGCACTAATTAATGTTGCCAAGAGGAACCCTGCTTTTCCAACTAAGTGTGGGAGAGCCCAGGTGATCTTATTTGCAAGCAGAGTCACAGGCGCAGTGAGGCAAGGGGGTACGGTCCTGTCCATCCCTCTGCAGAATTGGTGACCTCAGGCAGTGACAGGGGCTGCAGGGACAGTCACTGCTGCTCTCTGCCCCATGGGCTGGGCTCTAAGTCATGCCCCAGATCTGTGTGTCCTGCTGTCCAGCTTGCGCTGTCCCCCAGCCATGCTGAGAGCCTGCTCACCACGCCAGAACAGCAAGGGGATACCATGGGAGTGACAACGGGGAGCACAACTGTGTGCTGGGACTAAAGGCTTCCTCCCATTAATATCACCTCTACCTGGGGCCAGGAAGGAGTAAAGGATGTGGGGCAAAAGGGGAGAATTTACTCCCTAGTGATTTGTTTCATTCTTGAAGGGTCTGGTTCTCATCCACAGTTTGCAAAAGCATTTCCTGCCGGCCAGCTGCCAAGGAAAAATGGACCAAAAATAGCCCAGTGCTTAGGAGGTGCCATGGCATGACACAGTGCCTCCCAGGTGTGACCTGGCCTGGCAGCAGCAGAGCCCAGGGAGCAGAGGACATTTGTGAGGAGCAGTTTGTGCCCTAGTAGCAGGGGAACAGCCCCAGGCAGAGGTGGAACTCACTGCTGCAGGGCTGCTGTGGGGAGTCATCCACCACCCTCCATCAGGACGTCTCTTCCCAGACACTGAAGTCATGGGTTTGCTTTTCCCTTTTAGGACGTGTCTCGAAAGCATCACACCTGGAAGGAGCAGAGTCCTTGGCTGTCTTCCTTGGTGAACGCTGTGGGGACTGGCATGCCCACCAAGGGCTTCCCCGTGGGCGCAGACGAGCAGGCGGCACGCTGGAACCCGCCCCGCTGCGGAGTGCCAGACCTCCCGGTGTCACCAGATGGCCAGAACGGGCGGAATCGGCAGAAGCGGTTCGTCCTCTCTGGCGGACGCTGGGACAAGACTGATCTCACCTACAAGTAAGAGAGGCCTGAAACTGGAGTCAGCCTGGTTTGCTTCTCCCTCCCCAAACCTCTCGGTCTGATGTTCCCTGGAGCGCAGCATGCTGCGGTGTGATCATAAAAGCTGGAGGGCAACCCTAAAACTGGGTACGGCCAGATGGGGGGCAGGGGAGCCACGTGCTGAACCACCAGCAGGGTCATACCCAGCACCTCCACATCCCCTCACGCTGCCATAAACACAGCTGCCCACCCGACCCTGCCCAAACATATTCCGCACAGCTCTTGTGTCACCCTGCGGTCAGTCCCGTGTCAACACCCCCATGTGCATACGTTCACTTCCCTACATCAAACCCCTGACACATGCCAAGCTGAGCCTCTACTGCCAGCCCTCTCCTGCTGTGCCTTTGCTCCCCCCAGCCACCCCGCTGTGGGCTCACTTCACCGTTTATTTTAAAAAGACCTTTTTATTCAGCTGTTATGGATGTTCCCATAAACACGACTTCAGTGTAAAGTTTTGCCCAAGTCACCCCACACGTTCTCAATTGCGAATCTCCTCAACAGGCTTGCGGGAGGGTTGTGCTGCCTCCCCAGTTGCCCACAGGGGCACGAGTGGAGAGGTGAGCACACTCGTATGGACTTTGACAGCACATAAATCACCTTTTGTTTAATTAAGTGCAGGAGACAGTTCCTCATAGCGTTAGGAGGCGATAGATTACAGAAAGGCTTCTTCCTTTTTTTTTTGGTCAACAGTGTTAAAGAAACACAGCAGAGACGAACACACACCAACACTGTTAATGGAAGGGAAAGCAAGCTCCCTCTGTGGCAGACCTTGCAGTCTACTTATGTTATAGGAGGGCACAAGAGGCGGCAGCAGCTCTGAGCGAGCCCAGGTTTCCAGGGGCAAAAAATGCAGACTGAGGAGGAGAAATCACATCACAGCACTCCCAGGCACCTCTGTGGGGCTGGACGCACAGGGGACAGACCTGGGAAATGCTGAATCACTTCAGTCCGAAAAACACAGATCTGCAAAGCTCTCCAGAGAGCTCACCTGGGCCCACCAGCCAGAGGGTTTCGACACTGATGGGATTTATCTGCTGCACATGTTGTTTGGAAGAGGGTGCTGGAGCAGTGCTTGTATGGATTGGAGATGTTCCAGTGCTGAGAGAGAGTGGCAGCCCTAGTGACGTTGATCCTACAGCTAGTGTCTTCATGACAACAGTGTCCACGGGACAGCAGCTGATGCTCTCCTCATCCAGTGTCTGTTGCTTTTCAGAATTATCAGGTTCCCATGGCAACTTGTAAAAGCTAAAGTGAGAAGGACCATCGAGGAAGCTTTGAAAGTCTGGAGCGATGTGACCCCACTGACCTTCACCGAGGTGCAGGAGGGCCGGGCTGACATCATCATCGATTTCACAAGGTGAGCACAGTAGGCAGCAGCACCCTTCTCCCAGACAGAGCAGCAGCCTTGCAGGCAAGACCCCAAGCTTCTAACTAGAGCAGAGAGCTGCCAGCACACAACTTAGGCACTTAAGTGGAGGCTCATATTTCTGCTTTCAGACACTGGGATGTTTTTGGTTGGGTTTTTTTTTTTTTTTTTGTCCGTTGTGGGCTGCTTGGTGCAAGTGCAGCTGTTCCGTGCTGGCTGTGCACAGTACCGTTACTGATCATTCATTAATTTTCCTGGTACATTTACGTTTCTCTGCCCACAGGCTGTTTTCCTAAGCGTTTGTTTTGACTTTCCATCTTCAGGTCCTCCATCCTGTCCCTTGACTGAACGACGTAACTGTCTGCCCAAAGACAAATATAGTTTCTTGGTTAAATGAATCTTGGCTCCTGGCCTGAAATTCACTTTTGGCAAAATACGCACGGGGGCAAAGACTTCCCTCTGCTGCATGTTTGCACAGAACTAATAAAGTCAGTGGAGATCGTCCAAGCAGTGATGCGATGTGCATGCTGTGTATTTGCCTGTGCCTCCCTCAGCTCTCTAAAGTGGCCACATCTCTCGTGGGTTTCCTTCACGAGTCAACAGCGGGCTTGGCTTGAGTGAGGACCTGAGGGTTTGGCTGGGTTTGCTGCCGGCTGCCCCTCTGCATCCCCCCACCGCTCAGCTATGTCAACTTAATCTTGGCTCGAGCAGTCACCTTCTTAATTCTTTAGGCTCCATGGTCAGCTTTGGGCTGGACACTGAACAGGGGGAGGAGAGAAACATCCCTGAGAAAACATGTGAACTCCCCAGGGCTTGGTGTGACTGAGCTCTGCTTCCTCAGTGCTTGGTGTGACCAAGCTCTGCTTCCTCAGTGCCTCGATGCAGAACCGAGTTTGTGGCAATCTGAAGGGCTCAAAACAGTTGATCCGGACTAGTGGGTTGAACTTGGGATGAGAATAAGAGCTGCTGTCCCCTCGCAGTGACTCCCGACCTTTGGCTATATGCTGCTGTTCACTGGAGGCACACAGCCGTTTGTCTGAGGTGCAATGTGTCTTCCCTCCAGGTACTGGCATGGAGATAACTTGCCTTTTGATGGGCCTGGAGGGATCCTGGCACACGCATTCTTCCCCAAGACACACCGGGAGGGAGACGTCCATTTTGACTATGACGAGACCTGGACTATTGGGAACAACCTGGGTACGGTACTGTTTCAGGGGGAGCTGTGGACGCTCCAGGATGCTTATCAGGGCACTTGGAAAGGATTCAGTTGTGGTGTGAACAGGGACCCTGTAAAACTGAGAGGCAGCAATCATTTCTGTGGTGTGCATTGTCATCTCCTACCATTTACAACCCTACTGGTAGTATTCAGGTCTTTTCTGAAGTCACCCTTCAGCCACAGCAAAGCCTGTGTCCAGCCAGAACCCTGTCCTAGTGGGCTCCCTCCGTGTGAGGGGAGCAAGAGCAACACGTCTGAGAGTCGGCTCCCCTGCCCAGCCATATGCCCTGCCACTTGGGAATTGCACCCAGCATTGGCAGGAGCCATTAGAAATAAAGCAGTGAAAGGGTGAAGGAAAACTGAGGCTCAGGCACCGGCTGACACAGTTGCCTTCCAAAGGACAGCCTCAGCCCCAGTCCCTGCATGCACTGTTCACCGCCTGCCCACAAAGTATTTTCTCTTTGAACAAGTCCATAAAGGGAAACCACCCAGGCTCCAGCTCTGCCCCTGTGGCCTGGGAATGCTCTGACCATAAACAATGCCACATCAAGTCAAGCCTCTTTTTTTTTTTTTTTTTTTTTTGCTAATAATAGATCCAAGCTGGTAGCTCTCTGCTTGGGCACTCAGGGTCTGGTGTCACAGTATCTCATGAGATACTGCAGTACTGCCTGGGACCATCTGAACTGGTGCCCAAAGCAGCAGTTTCTGCAAGACCCACCAAAATTAACCCAGGTCAGCCCCCCCTCCTCCTTCCCATTTTAGCTACAGGGACAAAGACAAAATCACAAAGCCCAAGTCAAACCCCTGCCTCCCTGTGGTTTCCCAAACAGTTTGTCCACATCAATGTTCAGGGCTCAGATGGGCTCCCCCAAAGTCCACTTTATTGCCAGTTGTATGCCAACTCGAGTCCCTGTGTGGGGCACAGGACTGCTATGTCTCCAACCCTGTTCATGCTGACCCGAAAACAAGAACTACAGAGCACCAGATCCTTCTGCAGAAGTGTTTCTGCTCCTTAGGGAACAGTGGGCTCTGCTGTTTTTCACCCTCTGTTGGGGCTGCCTGTGTTGTTAAGAATTTCCTACATTCTCCCACAAAGACAGTGTTGGAGGCAAACCAGGAACTGAAAACGGATACCAGTTCCCATCAGAACCCAGCCCTATTCCATGGCCCTTTTTTCCCCCCCTACGTCTTCCATAAATAAATGTTGTAAAAGCTCTTTGCAGCTAATTGCCATTTAATATGCTGAAAAGAGCTTTACAATATAAACATGGAAAAATCCTTATCTCAGCTCTCAGTGAGACGGCGAAATCCTTAGCCTCATTTTACAGATGGGAGAGCAGAAGTATGAGAAGGGCTAAGGGGTGCCCTGGGGTCACCCCAGAGCCGTGCAGGAAGCAGGACTCCACGTGGAGGACCTTCTGCAAGGGACACAGTGATGCTCCCCAGCACAGCTTCTTCAGGCATGCTGTTGTTCACATCCCCCCAGAGGACCTGACAATAGCACAGCCGATCTGCCAACACTGGAAAGCATCAAGTGAGGAGCCTGCCAAACTAAACAGAAGTGTCTGAAAGTTTGTAATAAATCACCGACATACAAATCCCATTTTCTCAGCTGACCTAGATGTGTCGATTTAATTGGGTCAGTGCTGTGCAAAATCGCTTCAACGTAAAGCTGACCAGCGGAGGAAGACAGGGGCTCACCTTCCCCTCCACCCTTCCCAGGCGTTCCTCCCAGTTGCATCCCCCTTGTCCCGTCCCATCCTGTCCCGGTGCTGAGAAGTGACCTGCTCCCCTGGAGCCAGCAGGGAAATCCTGCTTGGAGCAGCGAGGCCGGCTGACTCACATCCCTGCCTTTCTCATCACTTGGGCTGCATCTTGGAAGATTTCTGGCTGAAGGCAAGTGAATGAATACGCTGGGACTTGTCAACAAACAGCCCCGCTCACAAGTTTCACTGCTTAATATGCCTCTCTTCCAGCTTTCCCTAAAATTTATCAACTTCAAAAAGGATCTATTGGAAGCTAGACAACACCTGCAAAATGACACATTTTTGCATACTGAAATCCACTTTTCCCCCTCACCTTTTCTACATGCTCCAAGGTCATGTATTCCTAAAACGTGATCTCCCATAAATCTACTTGAGTCTGGTGAAGAAGGCCCAGGCCTTGACACTTGATAATTTTTTACGGGTTTATTTCTAAATGTCACCTTCTTGCTACAGTCCACACACAAGCAATAAATGAGCTCCCTCTGCTGTCTGTGTGACAACAGCCATTAGCAAGTTTTAATCCTCCCTGATGCAGGTATCTTCCATAGCGGAGGTGATCTAAATGGGACCTGATACGCTACAGCTGTAGCCAACAACTGCTGCAAGGCTGGGTCGACAAAAACCAACCTTACCACCCTGACACCTACTTCTATGGGACAGACTTCTTTCTCCGTGCAAATTTCTTCTATCCAAAAGCAACGGAAAACCCTTTTCTTCCTGATAGTTGACGGGGTACAGAAGCCCCTGGTGACAGAGTTACAAATTACCAACATGCCCAGGCTAGTACCTGAGTGTATGAATTCACTCACACTGCTCCAGGAAAACCCTGGGAACAACAACCTGCAAGCACTGTAGTCGAGGTAGATGTCTCTTTCCTCGCGTTAGGCTCCTACAACATACCTCAGTGCATTGTCAGTGACTGATAATTGCTAGAAGTGAGCCTAGCAGGCAGGCGTCCCCCACACAAGCAGGCAAAAGCATCTCCCACCTTTTCCCTTTGCAGGCACTGACCTCCTCCAAGTGGCTGCTCATGAGTTTGGCCACGTCCTGGGCCTGCAGCACACGGCTGTCTCCAAGTCACTGATGTCGCCTTTCTACATCTTTCGCTACCCGCTAAGTCTGAGTGAGGATGACAAGCAAGGTATCCAGTACCTCTACGGGAAACCCAAACTGGATCCTGACCCAACCCCAACTCAGCCAGCAGAGCTGCCCCAGCTGGACCTTGAAACAAATGAGATCACCAACGTGGAGGTGAGTGAACAGCTTGCCTGTGTCCTCCTCTAACCCCATAGCTTGTTCCCAGCTGCTGGGACTGTCCTCACCGTGAGGCCAGCAGCAGGCTTACACACGGTTTGGTGTCCGTGTCTTCCACCCACGCTGCTAAGCCCAGGTCCAGACCCCATGGCTGGCACTGCCAGCCAGCCTGGGATGGGTGGGGAGGGGATCTTTGGGCAGCTTGTGCCCAACCAAAACTGGCTGGAAGCAGGGCAGTC